TCTTTCTCAAATTCTAATAAAAATTTAAATCTTAATTCATCATATCATGAAGAATATTAACTCGTTTTACTAAACCTAATCTCTTTAGTATATATATGCTTAATTTAATTGGCCTAAATTTCCATCTTGTTCATTTTTTTCACTATGCATACCATTTTCTCTTGGGAAAAAATCACAGCTAAAAATGTTTGTTTGATCTTGTACCATTTTGCTTTATTTTAAGAAAATAACATTTCAAAATGAAAAATAAAATAATAAGAGTACTTTTTTGATGAGAAAGTAACAAGATTACTTTTATTCCCTTACAATACAAGATCTTCATGACCCTACATGAATAAACAATTCAACTGCTTGTGAGCAAGGACCTAACCTAAGCAGCTACGTGACATTACTGAAACAAGTCTGCACAAGTGAAGATTGAACAGATTGTGAGCAAAGTCCTAAGCAGTCATACTAAGCATTTATACTTGGACCTGATATGTTAAAACTATCAGACATAATCGTATATAACTGAATAATGTAAATACAACACACATATATTAAACTGATGTATTCTAGCTATATACACTGAACAAGACTGAGAAAGGATATGCATATCTATACATACCTTGTCGTCAAGATAGGCAGCCCAGAAACGAGCAGTGGCACGATCGTGTGGATGAGAGGGAAGAATAGAAGGAGCAGAAGACCAGAGTTGGTCGACGTACTCAACAATAATCAGAGACTCACACACGGGCTTATCTGCATGAATCAGAACTGGGACTTTCTTGTGAACAGGATTGGACTGGAGCAAAATCTGGCTCTTCGATCCCAAATTCTCTTCAAGGAACTCATAGCTCACTGACTTTATATTCAGAGCAATGCGAGCCCTCATCACAAACGGACTCGCCCATACACCCAGAAGCTTCACTTCCTCTCCCTTGGACATGATGATGGATTCTTCTTCTTCTTCTTCCGATATGATAGGAGCAGGTGGTCAATTCTCGGAGGGTTATAAATACAAGAGTAATAGTGAAAATTAGAAAGGGTTTGGCAGGTTGGTGCATAGTGTGAGAACGGAGTTGAACGGTAGGTGTGAATGAGGTGGATGACTGGATGGCATGATGAGCTGTACATGGCTCCGGCATTAATGGTAAAGTCTCGAAAGTGGGAAGTGGCTTTGTCTGGTTTTGTGGTTGAGGGGCAACACCGGAACTCCACGCCAAAGCACCAAGCACCAACATTTGATATCTTTTTCGCATATCCCTATGAAGTGATTGGACACACCCAAAAAAAAAAACATAAAACTAAACGTGCACCAGCCGGGAATCGAACCCGGGTCTGTACCGTGGCAGGGTACTATTCTACCACTAGACCACTGGTGCAGATATGCTAAGTGGGTTCAACATATATATAAAATATTAATGTGCTCTCAGCTATGTACATAATAAATCTTGAAGAAATTAAATTTTGCTCATGGTGTTTTAAGTTAATCATGACACTGGCGAAGTAATATTTTCTTTGCTCTACGAGTGTTTTGTTGTAATTTAATATTGATGTGGGTAGCTTGTTACATTTTAAAATTTAAATTGTATGATGCACTTGTTTATACTGTTTTCATTTTTTTTTAATAATTTAAGGAGACAAAACAGAAAATATTTATCTTTTAATATTTGTGTGTGGGGGGGGGGTTAAAAAAAGTGACATAGAGTTTCTTTATACTTTGTAAAAGAGGCATAATAAACTTAGCTACCTTTATTTATAATATAAATAATTTTATTTTTTTAAATAAAAATAGCAACAATTAGAAGTATCTTTAATAATATTTTTAATTATGCAAATATTTGGAAAAAATTTTAATTTTCTGATTGTGATACTTCAATTAGAGTTTGACATCTTCTTATATTGGCATCTCTCTAGATTCCATTAATTCTAAAAAATAAATCAAGACCATCCCATCTCTTCTTTATCCAAAGTTTAATTTTTTTTTTTTCAGTGTAACTCATCTTGAGAGATTGTAAAATTACTCGTGAAGTGTGGAAAGAATGCATTAAACCTATGTTTTAGCAAATCTTTTTTGTTTTGATTTTGCAGGAATGGCTAGATGAGGAGGCGAAGGAAAATGAAGCAAAATATTTTCCAGATTCATTCAGGATGATCCAGTCACCACTTAGATAACTACTCCTAACTCTTATTACACTGTCAAATATATATACACATACAAGACCCAAAGTGAAGATTCAAATATATATGATTGGGTAGCTAGGACGATCTAGTTTGATAGTTAGTTAATGTTGGTAGGAACATTCGGAATGGTGGATGGAATCTGCTGCTGGCGCCACATTTCAAAAGTTAGACAATTTAAAATGGGATTTTCCCCTTTGGGCAAGAACTAGCTAGCTAGTTTTTGTTTGTTACACGGTTATCTGAATCGTATTTCTCAAAAACAATTTTCTGCATGCAGACTTGAATCAAAGTTTTGTTGGTGAAGAAAGTTATTTGCACGTTGAGTCCACTGTCCACTCCATCACCCAAGTGGGGAAATTCGCGGATAGCCCTGTTTTGTTATCATTGTTTAATATCAAATTCATAAATTCGCGTGAGCAAAGTGTGTTAATTTCTTATTTGATGAGGCAAATAATAGAATTACCCAACTAACAAGGACGATGAAGATGTTCCAAGAAATACCCACTCCTATACCTCCGATGGCATCTTTGTCCCGTCAAAATTGTTCCATGACCTAGCTAGCTAGAAACAAAGTAGATGAATCCCCAGAGACCAGATGATCATATGATTCAACAATCTATCAAACAGTTGTCAGGCTTCGTCCAGAGCCACATCCCAACATTTAAGTAGGACTTGGGCAAGAATAGATCAAATACAGCCCAGAATAGATCAAATACAGCCCAGTACTTGTAGGTATATACGCATGTTGACAGCCCAGAAGAACTTGCAAGGAATTAATTTAATTAAGGATCCAAACATCAAAGATTGGGCTTTGCCCAGAAATGCTCGTGAACTGGTCGACATAAAAAGGCAGACCTTGAAAGGCAGAGCTATTCAAGAAGCGAAGAGAGCTATGCCGTCATCGAAGGTGCTCTGGGTGTTGTCAGAAAAGTAGAGCCATCAGCATATTACAGTGACTAATAATATATTATTATATTGTCATTATAGGTCAATAAGGTCAAACTTAGCTCCAAACCTATCCTCGAACGTTAACTAACCTAGTGCTAGACCGCGTTATATATCAACTGTGTGATTGTTTGTGTCTGAAGAAATTGTTGAATGTGATATTGATTAACAATATTATTAAACACTTTATTAATAATCGAGAATAATGACATTTTTTGCCAAAAAAAAAAGAGTATAGTGACATAGTTTAATCCATGTATACAGATCCACATAATGAGATAAAACTTGTTGTTACGTTAGTTTAAGTTTAAAGTAACTATTTAAGAAATTTATGAAAAACATAATTTATTTTATATTTAGCTATAATCATAAAATTAGTTTATTATTTTGTAATTTTTAAATTGAGAGAATGATAAATAAAAGCCCTTAAAATTATTAAAAACCTTTTACAACTAAAATTGTAAGAATTTATAATTCAAAAGTTTTATTTATATATATTAGTTTTTTTTTTTACAAACCTTCAATTGTCATTCTTCCCTTTGAAATCTTATGATACTTTTATATATAACTATATTTTTTATTAGCATTTTCTTGTATTTGATTATTTTTAGAAGTTACTTGTTGTAGTTTATCAAAATAATTAGGAATTTAATTTTTTTTAGATTTTGATGATTTTAAATTTTAAAAAATATTATAAATTTTCTCATTTTTTTAAAATGGATAATTTTCTTAAAAAAACTGAAAAAAACAAGGAAAAAAAAGAAATGTTGGCAAAAAAAAAGAAAAATATTTAAGCATGTTTTAATTTTATAAAAAAATCAACATATTTACATATTCAATCGGTCAAGATTTTTGTCAGGGATTATAATTCATAATAATAACTTATTATAGAATAAATAATTCATAGAAAATATGTCTTGAGTTAATTAAAAACAAATATCTTAAATATGCAAGAGTAACAATATAAGTTTTCCTCTAAATATAAACATTAAAAATGTCTAAATTAAGTAATACAGCAAATGAAAGTAAACTCAGAAACTCAAAATTCTTGGCATATTATTAATGACATTGCGTGCTGCAATCTTTTTATTTTGATTGGTGACTCAATGAGACTTGATATTTTTACGTAAAATGTGACGTGAATAATTACTCTTTTACCTCATTTGATACTTCCTCTGTTAAAAAATATAAGACATTTTTTGAGGGTTAGATGTTAAAAAATGTAAAGTATTTTTAGTCTTTTGAGATGTAATCATTGTCTTTGTTTCAAAAGTATTTTTATTGATAATGACTTTATATCTATTGTAAAGTATTTAATAAGGGTAAATATGAAAAGATATGGTTAGTTAAAAAGTAGGTAACTACTTTATTGAAAATAAGATTCGGTTAAAAATACCTTATATTTTTAAACAGAAAGAGTATGTCCTTTTCATCAACATACTCAAATTGTAAGCTAGCGGAAAAGAGTTCAACCTCATTCTAGGCATAGAAAACCAGAATAATGTAATTCTACTTAAATAGAACAGAGAGGAAGACTTATGAAACCAAGGCATCCAGTAAAAGTAAAGACAAATTGAACTGAAATGTTCTTCAGCTTCCTTCCACTGAAAGCATTGAACAAATCCATAAATAACAAAACCGTAGGCTCCTCCTTGCTTCCTCCACTTCAGTTTCACTCCCCAGAAAGGCAATTTTCATCTACCAGTTAGCTAGCTAGCTCACTGATTCAGCATTGCAAATGATATCAGTATCAAATTTTTTAGCCAAACTTTTGTTCTTCTTTCTTCAACTCTTTCCCCCTTCCTCTTGAGAATCATTGGAACCTAGATATGCTTCAATTTGTCTTCTCTCCATTTTCCTTTTCCATCTTCTTCCCATTTTGACCTCTGCTCAAATCTGCCGAAGAACATGTGGCAATGAGATTCTTAGGTACCCGTTTGGCAGTGTCTCTGGTTGTGGCGATCCTCGCTTCCAACCGTATATAACTTGCAACCAACAAAAGCTCACCTTCACCACTCACTCATGACTCACGGTCATATCCTGTAACCTCAATAGACTACAAAAGACAAGTCATATACATCTCAGATCCCACCATGTCAAGTTGCTATGGTACTGTTCCTGCAAAGGGCTTTGGCTTAGATTGGAATGCACCATTCACGTTTGATGAAAGAACCATCTTTATTCTCCTAGGCTGTTCCACAAATTCATCCTCCATTCACAGTTCCAAGTTTCTCTGTGATCAAGGAACAACAATTTGCAGTCTTCTGAATTCATGCAGGCCTATTAGTACCATCAACGTTGACCTCCCCAGCTCATGTCTTGCTTGTGAAAGAAGCCATGGAGCATGTGGGTACACTAGATATTTGAATTCATTTATTTGCAGCTGTCCCAGTGGGACTAACACAACCACAGATTGCTTCTTTGCACCATATTATGATGGTGGCTTTAGAAATGGCATGAAACTTCACCTCCCTTTGTTCCCAACATGTCAATTGCATAACTTAACCTTGAGATTGCTTTGGTCATTTTGTATCAGGGGTTGCTTGGCTCTTGGTTCTTACGGGTTGGTCTCTCGTTGGCTTCTTCTTGTAACTTAGCGTGAATGATGATAAACTTCAAATCAACCTGATGATCCAATTAAGAAATCCGACTTTTGAGGCTTCACTACTTTGATCCTTGGGAATTTCAATATTGAGGTGGAATATATTATTATGTACCCATTTATTAGTTAATAATTTAGGTCTTAAATTTCTGGTCTCATTGAGAGCCAGAAGTGTGTGCAGCTGTATTTCCTCAGATATCATATATGTTCTGCAATCATTGGGCTCCAAAAGATTATTAATATTTTATGAAATCTACGACAGAATGCCAGCGTTACAAGAATCAAATTTCAGTTCAGCTCATAAAGTTTGAAGATTGAACTGATGAGCTGAACTGAAGAAAGCAGTGCAGAAAAATCAATTGATTAGCAATCCTAAGTTGATATAAACTCCACTTCAGAATCTCATACTTGTAACATGGAATCGAGTTTCATATCTTGCAATTATCAACATTCCACCGCACTCCGCAACTGATGCTGCTGCGATGTCAAGTTGCCGAAGCAATTTAGTATCAGAATGTTGCCTACTTTCGTTGCTTCTCTGTTTTGTTTAGTTCTCTGTAATTTACTCTCTACTGTCATTTTTATGGGAGAATTTTGAAAGTATTCTCTTGATCCTATTTATAAGAAACAACAAAATTTTGTTTGTTTGAAGTGTTTAACTATTTATTAAAATTGTCCTTCCTTTTTTTTTTTTGTCTCATTAATGTGGGTAGTAATTAGTAAATAAGTAGACTGCCCTGTTTTGCAGTTGAGGAATGATTTGCTTTGGCCAGGCCTGAAAAAATAAACTCAAATCTTTTAGTTGCTATAAAAGACTAGAATGAATTTAAAAAAATAAAACAAAAAAAATTAAAATTTTTTTTCTCTCATTATAAACATAATAAAATATGAGAATCACCATACCCTTTAAAAATCTCATGAATTATGATTATCAATTTTATAAATTAAATTATCTTTTTTTCCTATGAATATGATACTCTTTTATCCTTTTTATATTTTGCTCATCTTATTTTTACTTTAATTTTTTTTCAATACATTAATTTCATTCTTTTTCAGGAATCAAAACAGAGTCTTAGTATCATAAATTAAAAGCATACCGACTTGGAAACGGTGCTTGTTACTCTGGAAGACCCCGCAGCTTCGAAATGGCCCTTGGGCTGCTAAAAGATTCCAAAAGTGAAACGAATCCTATGACATTTGGACATGAAATTCGCACATGACAACGCATCTCGAATTTTAGTAACTCTCAAAGGTTAAGCTCCTGACTGGTCAAAAAAAAAAAAAAAAGGTTAAGCTCCTGAATCTGATCTGCCAAAGCAGATTCAAAAATTAAAAAAGGATACAAAATTTTAAAATGTGTCGTCACATTTCTTTTTAATAAAAGTATAATATCAGTATAGTTTTTTCAATTTTAATACCAAATCCTCACCTTTTTTACTTCAAAAGTCAAAACATAATCACAGGCACCAAAAAAAAAAAAGGGAGGAGGAGGAGGAGTGTTCAACTAATCCGTGACAATAACTGGTAACAGGAAAAGTGCACCTGAGCACTAGTAGCAAAAAAACTGTAGTGGGGCGAGATTTCTGGCGCTTATCCAGATAATTATCAAATGGCCCAGTCTTTGAATTCCCTGACACTAAACATTATTAAGGGCATCATCATGAGTTGGGGACAAACATGATTTTGAGTGTAACAACTTTAAAGATGAATAAAAGATGAACGAAAAGAAAAAGTGACTTGTCCGTCTGAGCAATGCTACTTGTTTTGTTCTTTTCTGTTGGATCTATTTGTCAGAATGAAACACAAACCAAAATCCTTGAGTACCATTTCAGATAGAGCAACTCTATTTGCTAGAGCAAAATGAAGTATCAGCTGCTACAGCTTATAGTTACTCTGTTTATGGTCATCACATGTGGAAGCCTAAGGGGAAGTACTGGAGCTTGCAATCCCAATGACTTGGAAGGTTTGATGGGTTTCAAGAATGGGATTCAAATGGATACTTCAGGACGCCTTGCAACATGGTTTGGCCAGAACTGTTGCCAATGGGAAGGTATTGTCTGTGAAAATGCAACCTCCAGAGTGACAGAGATAAACCTTCCAGGAAGCATTTCCACAGATGATGATTTGTCTCAAACCCAGATGAAAGGCTTGCTTTCTCCTTCCATAACACTTCTTACCTCTCTTGAAGTCTTAGATCTTGGTGGTTTAGTTGGGCTCAGTGGGACAATTCCACAAACAGTGGGTGTGCACCTGCAGAATCTCCGGAAGCTCTACCTTTATGGCAACAACTTGACTGGTCCAGTACCAGAAAGCATTGGTGAGTTGTCAAATCTTCAAGAACTGGCTTTGCATGAAAATGGGTTGTCTGGGCCAACCCCTTCAAGCCTAGGAAGCCTGAAAAATCTCAAAAGGTTGCTGCTTTATACAAATCAATTCTCAGGTACAATGCCAGACTCACTTGGTAATTTGACTAGTTTAAAGGAATTGGATGCTCACGGCAATTCCTTAACGGGTCATATACCAGATAGAATTGGTCAGATGCAGGCTCTGGAGAAGCTTGATCTTTCTGACAATGTGTTAAGTGGGAATATACCTACTTCACTAACCAATTTAACTGCGATTTCAGTTTTATACATGGACACCAACCTTCTTGAGGGAACCATACCATTTCCCTCAAGATCTGGTGAAATGCCTTCTCTGGAATTCTTAAGGCTCCATAGTAACCATCTCACTGGGAATATACCTTCCAGTTTTGGCTATCTAGCTTCCCTCAAGAGAGTTTCACTCTCAAACAACAAGCTTGAAGGAGAATTAACTTCTAGTTTGGGCAATTTGTTATCTCTGACTGAACTTTATCTCAGTGGCAACTTCTTATCTGGCCAAATCCCAAAATCCATAGGACACCTCTCTAAGCTCATAATGCTTAACATTTCCGATAATCTGATTGAAGGACCATTGCCTCAAGAGATGTCATCCCTTCAAAATGTGCAAACCCTTGATCTTTCTTTTAATCATCTGAATCTCTCTGCCATCCCAGAATGGCTTGTAAATCTGCCGTCACTTTCTCGTATTTATTTGGCAGGTTGTGGAATCAAGGGTGGCATGCCGGACTTTTCACAAACAGCTGGTGGTCCAATTCAGGAATTGGACTTATCAATGAACTATCTCAGTGGAGCCATACCCTCCTGGATTGGAACCCTGGACCAGCTCTACTTGTTAAATCTCTCAAGGAATTCATTTGATTCAAACATCCCCGATTCTATCACAAACTTGCAGGATCTGGGTGTTCTTGATCTTCACTCAAATAAGTTAACAGGATCCATGAAACGAGTTTTTGAAACAGACCAAGGTATTTCTGGGGGATCACTGACATACATTGATCTTTCTGACAACAACTTCTCAAGTGGGGTTGAGGAAATTGGTGTTGGAGGGCAACGTGAGATTCAATTCTGAATTTGTCACATAACCTTCTGAGAGGTACATTACCAGGTTCTATTGGGAGAATGAATTCAATTCAAAGTTTGGATTTGAGCTTCAACGATTTAGCCTCCCCATTGCCGGAGATGTTGGCAAATCTAACCTCATTAGAGAGATTGAAGCTGCAGAAGAATCACTTTACAGGTAATATACCCAATGGATTTCTGAAGCTGAGACACCTAAAAGAATTGGATTTATCAAATAATTCTCTTGAAGGGGAAATTCCAGAAGGCAAGCCTCTGATTGACTTTCCTGAGAGTTCTTATTCTGGAAACAAAGGCTTATGTGGGAAACCTTTAGTTCCCTGCAAGATCTGAGGATTGCCAAATGTTTGTTTTATTTTTTGGGACAAAATATTGTCAGATGTCATCGGAATGGAAACCCAGGAATTGGATTGATTTTAGTTAACTATCATGTTTAAATCAGTCAAAAGCAATTGCCTTTGGTTTATTTGTCGTGCAGAACTAGAAAACTGAGCATTCACTTATTTTCCAGCGGAATACGAGGAACACCTGCTATTATTAATTAGGATTACTGACTCTTCTTTTCACGTTGTCATTTATATGCTTATTTTGCTTTATTTATAAATCATTTCTTATATATTTATTAAAATTAAAAAATCTTAAGTTTTATTAACCCTATACTAAAATTAAATAAATTTTTACATTTACCATTTAATAAAAATAAAAAAAACTATTTTTAATAATTTTCTTAACATTTAATAAGGTAGAAATATAAAAAAATAATGAAGTATTTTATAAATATGACTAAAATTAAGATTCTCTTTCTTTCTTATAAGTAAAATAAGAGGAGTATTATTCTAAAGAAAGCATAGAACTTTCAAGCGACTTAATTTTTTTGACCAATCAAAAGACTTAATGAATAACTTGAATTATGAATTCTTAAGTACCTTCTTGTTCTTCGTCCTTTGAACTGGAAGGCTGTAATTTTTTATCTAACACACTGTTTGGAGTGGTTGTAATTTTTTGTTTTAAGCATGTTTAACTTTTATTAGCATTATTGTGTTTGATTTTTTAAAAAAAATGGCGTTACTGGAGTCAAATTATCGAAAATGAAAATACAAGTTCAGAAAATGACGTAATCTTCAATATTTTTTGAGTTAAATATTTGCCATAAAAAATTTCTTATTAACGTATTTTCACATTAATTAAAAACCAGATATTTTACTCTTTAAAAATAAGTTTGCAGTCCCTCCCTCATCAATTAAGCCAAACATGAAACATGAATGCAAGCAAGCGTATCTCAAAAAGTGGTCCTTGATCATTTGGCTAATGGGTTGAAATTTACCGTATCGACTACGATTTTTTGAAGTTGCTTTCAACATGTTTCGCGTTGAGCTGCTAAACAGAACCCCTCCAAGAAAAAAAAAAAATTCTTCTTCGTAACTTTATTCTTTTTAATACAAAGCCACGAAAAAATCATATAAAACTAAGTCAAGTCTAACAGAGAGCCATCAAAAATCAAGATTGTTATTGACGTTCGAGTGTAATGAACAAATCAATCTGCGTATTTAATTGACATTTATAAACACATGATTGAAGTTGTTAATTCAATCCTTCATAAAGCAGTCTTTAATTTTCATTATGGTTTCATTAAGGGATGATTTGAATTGTAGTAATGCTGAATAAGCGATAAAGCTTTAAAAGAATCGGAGTAAACATTGATGCTGATGAATTTGTACCTCCAACAAAAAAAAAAAAAAACCTTCAAGATGGCGAGGAGCTCAACAGCAATATTAAAAAAAAACTAAAGTATTTGATAAAATCTTTTATTCAATTGTCTTGATTATCCCGAATGAGATCACTGTATGGATCAACTAATAATTACTGCTTCAACATTAAGAGTAAAATAATTACTAAGCATGAGGACGCGCTTGGATTGATGGATTCTCTATGATTGAAGATGACAAGATGTTTTCTAGCAACGAACGCTAATGCAAGACAAATTCAATTTCAAAATATGATTTCTTTTATGGACCACAACTCTGAGATTTTCACGTTCTTTGAAGTTACATTAGATGATCTGGAGTTACCCAAAGTTGCTGATAATTCTTGTAGTCGATTCCATTTAATCTAATACAACACAAGATCTGCTCTGGAAGCTCCTCCGCCTTGTTCCCCTGCTAATTTAATAACATGATTATTAGGAGACTCAAGATGATTGGGTTCATCAAAACACAAATTAATCGGTGTTAAAACACTTGTGTTGCAGATAATAATATCTCTACCAAGTTACCTGAATTGTGAGGCCAATATCTAGAATGCAGATCTTTAATCTGTCTAGGAAAGCTTCAAAGCCTTTTCTGGAGAAGTAACTGAATCTATGCATGTCCAAATCAATCTCAAAGTAATTTTCTCCCTGCAGAAATTCACATTTGGGTTAGCTGATTTTAAAAAAGAAAAATACAGGAACATCAATTTCAGATACCACGCGCGTGTGTGGGTCTATGTCTGTCTTTTGTAAGGAAATGACACCACTTCAATTTGCGGGCCAAACATAAAGGTGTCATAAAGAATCCATAAAAACACTGCCAATCAAACAAGGATAAGGAGCCCACACAAAAACTTGCATTTGACTTGTTCAAATTTTTTTCATGTCTTCAAATAGAAAACACAGAGTTTCCTTTCTTTGTTTTTTCCCCCCTATCCTCTTATGAGAATGAACTGTTGAATTATCTTGGTCTTTCATAGACATTCTTGAGTTAATCTCAGTTGCTGAGAGAGAAATGATGATGGGTCAATGAGACATACTGAGTAAAACTCATGTTGAGGGCGTGAAAGAACAGGTTTCTCATTGTAAGTCTGCATAAGCTTTCGTTCTGCAGCACTCAAATGAAGATCTTCCACGTTGGCAACACGGCCTAATATTTTCAACCTTTCTCGGAAAGGTACATTTGTGTCTACAGGAAAACCTTTCACCTTCTCAACAACTTTATCATCCATCAATCTCTACAGAAAGACATAAATGTGATTCAAGTTCAACATTGCCCGGATCATCTAAGAGAGAACTAAAGAAACTGAGACTGAGACATAAAGGCTCCAATCATACTCTGATGTTTTCTTGGAAAAGAAGTGGAAGTTCCTTGGAGTAACTCTCAGAAAGCTTAAAGTACAACACAAAACTCATTCCTTCCCCATCAATTTCACCTTGGAAAAGTGTGGCAGGATAAAGTGGAATCTGAGGAAATCCACAAAACATGAGTATCAGAATGAAAAAATGGATCCAATGTATTGAATGCAAACAACTCTGATTTAGCAGAAAAGGATTACCTGAACGTTAACAACAAGTATAGGTGGAAGTTTAGCAGAAGAATTAATGACTGGAAGGTCCACAAACCGAGCTATATGGTGCACTTTTTGTGGAGATAAAAATACATCAACACCAAATGGGTAATACGCAGAATAGTTGGGAGCAAAGTCCTTCTTCTTATCCCTGCCATGAACAACATCAATGACCAGCTGGTGAAACGTGATTTTACTACAGATAAGTATGCCAAACACCTAGTTGAGATTGTGCAGCTTATACCATTACTGATTTATTTACATATGATGTATTAGCTGGGAAAGGAAAAAAGAAAAAAGAAAAAGGAAATAAACTACATTTAATCATGCTTACTTAAAATAATTCACTCCTCGAACTTTAAACGTGCTTGGGTCAATGTGTGACCAACAATCAAGCATTTTCTTCTCCATTGGACAGAAGGGTACCTGCGAACCTGCTATTGGTCTTCGCAGAAGTATCTTGGAGGAAACTGCAAACCAGAAAAAGAACGGACAGAGGAATTAGAAACATTATAATTCCTAATTGATCTGTTAAAACTTGTTCTTCAGAAAAATCCAGTCCTTCAAATTACTTATTAAGACAAGAGTGATACTAAAGAAAGGAATTGTGGCCTGCAGAAACAATGAATAGACATCAAAGCCTCATAAAGAGAGTTTAAAATATCAGAAGCTTAAGGAACTAAATAGAGAACATGGGTGTTTCATTTGACAGCCACATGTTGCATTTGCATGTTAATGAAATCCTTGAAGATTTAATCATTCACTTTGGGCACACATGGAAAACTAATTCTTCCATCTACTAAAGGAAACTTCGAGAGGCAAACAATGACTTAAAAGTTTTAAGATATAAATTGAAAGAAAGTCTCCTGCATGCAATTGTGTGGCAAGCTATGAATATAACAATCACCAGTATCGAAAAGCTGTAGTTCTGATAATTTAACTCACGAAGGTTAGCATTGCCATGTCCTTCTTTCCATTTAAAGGGCAGTTTCATAGGAGGCTTTTTCCTTGCATTAGGAGGACTAGAACATGATGATCTTCTTTTCTCAATTGAAGGAATGGTCGATGCAAGACATGGCAAACAATTGTTGGGAAGAATCCCACAGTGATCCATAAGTTCATCATCCTTGTTGGAGTTTGCATCCACTGAGGAGATTTCATCAAGGAACACAGGCTGATTAACTTCATTCACACTTGCATCACGTTTACAGTGCGAATCATTGTCATCTGAACTGATAATCTGAACGTTAGAATTTCTGGAAGCTTCTGATAAGTTCCCCAGTTTCTGCACCTGATCAGTTGAACCTCCATGGCCGCCATCTCTCAATTGAAAACCTGATACGGCTCCACCTTCGATTCCATTCAGTGATACATCTACAAGGTAACAATTACATTTAATTATATCCATTTTCAGAGTTAGATATTTTTTATCCATCAAACATGTGAAAAGCCATATGTAGTTAAATGAAAAACTTTTAAAACCATACCATCAGGAACACTCTGGTAGTCATCATCACAGTCAGAGTCAAATGCTGCAGATGAGTCAAACCACGCCTCCTCAACACTTCCAGGTGCTACACATAAGCATTCCATTAAAAGGAAGCAAGAGTGAAGATTATTACGAAATCCAAAATAAGTGGTATGCAGATATGTTGATCAAGAGAACATCTAAGGAAAGGAGAAAAATCAAGGCAACAACCAACTGGGGGAACAGATCCTTTAAGGCAACTTATTCAGAGACATTAATTGGATTTTAACCATAAGTCTTGTTTTACCCTTCTCCATTCCAATAATTGGATTTCAATGCCTCCCTGGCTTCTCACATAAAGAGGAAAATGAAAGCTCTTAGCGATTGCTATTGCAAGCAATGATACAAAAAACAGGGACCACAGGCTGTGTCAAAATTACTCTGGCTCAGATTTTCATGGAAATGAACTTACTGAACATAATATCCGTCACAGATGTTGACGTTACTTCAAGTTTTGAATAAAACTATCTCATTAAATTCTTGTTTCTGTTCAAGTTTTTATGATAAAATCTCATCTCACTTCAGCCTCACAGTAAATTACATTTTATTTGTCCATCATCATGACTTCAAAAAAAGGCCGCAACCTTCAGAGCTTTAAGTTAAGCACCATATCTGCATCAATTATCAACATCTAACATCTAATCCATCTTTATTATTCAGTCATTAAACCCCTGGAGCAACAAATTAGCGTTAGTTCATCGACAGAGAATAAACATTGCGTTACATTCTTAATTAGACTCAGAGCAGAGAGATGAACCACCCTGACTACGGCCGAGCTTACACTCCAACCATGCAGATGCATAAAACAGTGGCAGAAAATTTCTTCAACAGAACAGTAAAAAACATTAATGAATTCAATAATGAAACGCAATTGATATATAAGCTTTGAAGGCTTCAGCGGAGAATCATTTTGGCAGAACAATGGAGTGAGAAGAGAGAAATGAACCTTGGAAAGTGGGGTTGACGAAGGAGCGATGATCAAGTAAGCCAGGCACGTCAGGCTTGTCCAATGATCCCTTGGATGGCCGAGAAGACACTCTTCTTCTGAGTTCATCCCTTCTCCTTTGGCGAGTCTTCTTCTTGGAGGAACTCAACCTCCCTCCCACACAGCCCTGATGCGTTGAAGCACAAGCGCCCATACCATAAATATCTTTTGGCTCAGATCCTCACCTCCATTGCAGACAAGCTCCGTGAAAGAAAGAAAGAAAGGGAAAAGGAGGAGGAAAAGGCAAAAAAGGGGTGGAAGCTACGGGTTGGTTTGTTGAGGTAGGAAGGAGAAAGACAACGTGATAATGAACCCCAATAAATAAAAAAACAACCCAGAAGAAGAAAAAGAAAAAGAAAAAGAAAAAGAAGGGATTTTTCAAGTTAAGAAGGGAACCAAATGTTTTACACAGTGACGGCACTTGTCGTAGTTGGTAGCAGCGTAGTAAGGCATCAAAATTTGCTGCCATATAATGCAATGGATGGAGAAGAAGTAGATGGGCGAGGAGGAGAGGACCCCACGAAATTCACAAGCATGACACGTGGCATGAGATGATAAGCTGAACGTGCGGGAAGCCTGGTTCTGAGGTTTGTGGACCTCCTTAATTATACGGTGAGGCTGCGGTCCTGTTGGCGTTAATTTGACGTCGTTTCACACTCTCACGTAAAGAAGGTCATTATCGTGATGGTGTCCGTATATGGGCATGCTGATTCCGGGCGTGTCTTACGTCGTCGTGTAGCTTGTATCATCAGTATCGCTACGCCATAAAAGGTTTGAGTACATTTTAATGTTAATATTATCAGATTAAGATGTTAATGATAAGGCATAGTTTGGAGGAGTGAGAGATGGATGGAGATGAATCATGTTAGAAAGTATCGCCAGAGGGAAAAAAAAAGGGACTTTACAGGTGTAGGTAGAGGGGAAGGTACAGGTACAGCTAATGAAGAGACAACCCGTGTACTGAGACAGAGAGCCTTTGACAAAGATAGTGCCCAACCCAAGCGTCGTTCTCATTGAGATACAGTACGTTAATAGTTTGGTACCACAAACTCAATTTGGTGTCCATATATTCCATGATCTCTTTCACCGAACCCCTTTTTTTCCAGTCATAATCCCTCATTCTTAATTAGTCCAGTTTTTTTATTATATATCCATAGAATTGTTTGGTTTTCATTTTTTATTGGGCGCCAGGGTATCCCAAGAAGGACAGTCTAACTTGCTTAACCGTGCATAAATGAGTTTAACATCACATTTCAACTTCAAACTTTCAAAATGAGTTTATGGGAGAAAATTCGAGTTCAATTTAATTTTGAACAATATATGCAGCATACAATTTTTGTTTTTATATAATTTGAGCTTCCATGCATAGTCTTCGCAGAAGTTCTGGACTCTAGTACCATTGCTTATTGGGTTGAGGAGCATTCAAGAAAGAAAGAAAGGTCAGTAGAGCCAAGAGCAATGAGAGGATACACACACATATAGAGACTTGATAACACAAAATTTTAAAGCATTAAGCTCATGAATCAGTCTACTTATATGCCTTTTTTTGAACCTAATATTTTTCTCTTAGGCTTTTTTTTTAAAAAAAAAAGCTACAATGATAACAAAAAAATTTATCAGTATTCAGCATATGAGTGGAATCTTTCTGCTTTCTCGGCCAAGAAAAGCACCTGTTTAAAGAGCGCTAAATGAGCCAGGAATGAGATACCACGACTCGGAACTGTACTTTTGTTTCCAGACAAGGAGTTACAGATTGTTAATACTTAATAGACTTGTGTTGTGAGTTGTGACTGACCTCATGCCTTTTTTTTTTAATATAATAAATAATATTTACGTTCAAACTGTGGATCCCGACACCTTCCTTCGTACTGCAGGGTGCTGGCTTTGTTTTATTTTGTAAGACAATGTTTAAAATGATTTAATGTTCTAAAATATAAAATATTTTTTAAAAATAAAGTTTTATTAATGATAATTATTTTAATATTGTGTCTTATTATTTTACTCTTTAAATAAATTTACTTCACACTCTCTCTTACTAATATAGGATATTTTTAAAAAATTTATAGAAAAATTAAAATTATAAATTATATTTAATGAATTTTAATAGTATGTATAATTTTATCAACAATATCTTATAAATTAAAACAAAGAGAGTAATTTAGTCCGCCACAAACTAAGTTGATAAGTATTAGGATTAGACAAAATAATTTTATACATGTTTTGTTTAATACGAAAGCGTGACATGCCTATGCTTAAATGTCTGTGTCCCTCGTTATTTTTTAAGAATCCTTCTTTAAAAAAAAAAAAAACTTTAAGCTATAGTCAACTATTCTCCTTTTGTCAAATAATAAATCTTCTACTTATCATAGCCGCATTAACAAAAAAGTCAATTAATTGCAAGATCATCATTTTTATAAATTTAGATAGGACAGAGAGAGAAAATATTTTTTATCTTATTTATAAATCACATTATTAAATTCTTATTACAAATTTTTTCTTTTACTTTCTATTGAATATTACAGAGAGAAAATATATTATTAAAGTATGTATATTTAATAGAGATAAAGTTAAAAATTTATTAAAAATTTTAGATAGAGTTAATAAATTTTAAGATTTTTCTTGATTTTAATAAAATATGTTAAAAATAATTTATAAATAGAATTAGAAGAATATTTTAAAAAACTGTTTTCAAGTTTTTAAGGACTAAGAAAATTATTTACGAATTGTATAAAATCTATATCTATATATTTAATTTGTGGGAGCCATGTTTAGTTTAGCTTAATGCATTTTGGGTTGTGTGTAATTTTGTTTTTTCTTATATTTAACGCAAGGATTAATGATGGCTTAAGAAAATATATACAAGTTAGCACAATGGAAGCTTCGTTTCAAGGAAGGAATTGAATCTCAGTTCAAGCATATGAAATAGAGGGAAACTATAATTTAAAGCATACTATTCAATCATTTCACAGTTGTATTTAATTATTGCTTAAAGTGTTTTTGCTATATAATTAAATAATACGTCAATTAATAAAATTATTAGTGTGACAATAAGAGAAATGAAGGCATGCATATTAACTCGCATCAAAATTCAAAATTTGGATGTAAGATAACATGAGAACAAAATTAAGAGAAGTATTTCGGTGTGCACCACGTGATTTATGATTTGTTCAATTAAAATGTTTTAAATAATCTAAATAAAATCTTGTATAATATTTTTTAATTGATTTTATTCTTATAATAGAATGTACATTTAATTTCTTACATTTTCTCTCTTTACTATCATTTTTATATTTAATGTTATATAAAAGTCACATTTTTATTAAACAAATCACAAATAATGTGATGCACTCGATCTAACTAAATATTTTTCAAAAAATTAAACACCCTACAAGTGGGTTAATTAAACGAATTTAAACCAAGAAACAAAAAGGGAACTTTCAAATTGGATGGTATTTGATTTGTTTCATTAAAAAATTAATTATGCAGCTATTTATCGTCATACTTGTACATTAGGATATTTCCATTTGGAACCAAAACGAAACTGTGATTGGTCAAAGGAAACAAAACTGTGAACCTGAGAAATGCTTCAGAGTTGTGCTCAGAAGTCTTTCCGATTCCGGTTGGAAAATGACTTTGCACAATTTTGTTATTAAAAATATCACAATAAAGAACTGGCAAGTTAAAGAATAAAAAAAATAACAAAATAGCGTTAGCGTTCATTATATTATATTAGACCATCGTTCTGTTTAAATGGTTTTTTTAACACCATGCATTACCATCAACATCATTCATCAATGATCAATAAATTATACTAAATTCTATAATTAATTAATGTACATGCACCAATATAAACGAATCTTGTTCTATTTTAAACAGATTTTACCAATGAATGTGCCTAACCATTTAATTATTATCAAATCGGATTCTTTCAATCCTATCTGTTAGTTCTGGCCAAGAAAAAAAAAAAACCAAGCCTTTTGATTGGATCAAAAAGAATGCAGGTGTTTTGAGAACATAAATTTCTTTCTTTAGTTTCGAAATACTGTCTTTTAGTTAAATAAAAAGTATATATTTCAAAAAATAAATATATTTATATGAAATCTACTCTTTGTAATACCCATTTAAATCTATTTAGATGAATAATGTGGTTTTTAATTTTTTTGGATTTGGATTTGATGAGGGATTTAGGTTAATTCATTCTTTAAGTGTCTCATGTGACACAATAATAACTTATCCTTATAGCTGATAATTTGATTGAATATTTTGATAATCTAGCTACATTCTAATTTTTCCTGGTAGGGAGACAAGAATAATCATGCGAAGCAAACACATTTTAAATTCTGAAAGCATACACCTATTCGATGTATTAATTGCCTCAACTAATTATTGTGGGATCAAATCAAATACAATGTGTCTTTCATCGACAAAAACAAAAAAAAAAAACAAAAAGCAATGCAATTTTTCTGCTTTAGAAGCGTGTTATATATGCTTAGAATATAAAAAGATGTTTGAAAAGAATAATTTGAGAAATTAAGATAAGGAGAATATTTGAAGAAGAGGTAAAAACAGTGAAGAATAAGTAAATCCAGAAGAAAGCATCTGCATTCTGCAGTTAAAAGAAAGCAAGACAGAATTTATGGAGGCTTTGACTGTCTTGTTCTTCTTCTTCACAAACAAGGAAGAATATTAAATGCCAAACATGTCACTACAATCTTCTGGTTTCTGATTTTCACTTGCTGGGTAAAACTTGAGTTCGTATAATAACTTCTTGGTCAATGCACAAGAACTGTGATAAACAGTCCCCAGTCAAGTCAAAGGGAGAAGTCATCACTAAATCAAGATTTTCCATAAGTTTTATTACATATATATAGTACGGTAAATCTTGAAGAAAAATCATGTTTTTGTCTCTGATAGTGATAGACGATTAGAAGATGGTGTAGTATGTTTTTTAAATTTAATCTCTCGTAAAATTATCTTATCAATGTGGACAAAGGTAACATAAAAGAAAGAGAAGATAGGTTTTAAATGCTGTGTATAAATTAAAGATTCAACAATGCTTAAATGATTAGTATAATGCAACTACACATGTGGGCATTATGGTCAACTTTTGAATGGACAAGTAACCTCCGAGATTGACGTAGACACAATAACTATAATTAAATTGATGCAACTATAGTGTTGATTGTGTGAGGAAGCAACGTTATTTGATGAATAAAACTATAAACTATAGTCAAAGACGACCTCTTCGGCGATAAGTGTCCATATTAGATAGGCAATTCATGTGCTTCACAGCAAATTAAACACACGCGCGCACGTACACACCTGCATTTGTTTTAGACACAAAATCTAATATTATAAAACTAACTTCCTTGGACAAGGAATGGAAGCAATTTTGACATTTTTTTTAATTTTAAATTCAAAACGTTCCGAAAATTAATGT